GGAGGACGACGATGCACTTGGTGCACGTGCATCGTCCTTCCCCTTCTCTCTTTCCCTCCCTCCGTTCTCTCTCTCTCTCTCTCTCTAACATTTTCACGGCGCTTCGACCACACGCCGCACATCGTATCCCTTCCTCCCCCAATCCACCGCCGAATCCCACCAACGACGTTCGTGACGTCAAGACGCATTGCGACATATCCCTTTGCCCCGCTTTATGCCCTGCTTGCTCTGCTGCTGCTGCTGCTGCTGCTGCTGCTGCTGCTGATGCTGCTGATGCTGCTACTGCTGCTGCTGCTGCTGCTGCTGCTGCTGCTGCTGCTGCTGTTGCCTCATACTCACAACGGGCTTGGTTTTTTTTTTATTTCATCTCTCTCTCTCTTTCTCTCTCTCTCTTTCTTTCTTTTTCTCTTTTTATTACACTTGAATATATTTATGAGATACTATTTTTATTTCCTTAGAATTTTATTTGTATTTATTATTCTTTTTTCTCCCCCATTCCCCCCTTTTTAAATTACTTTTTTTTCCTTTTTCTTTTTTCTTTTTTCAATTATATCTATTATCTTTTTTTTCGTCGTGTTTATTAACTCTTACTGTTCCTACTTGGTTTTGTTTTTTTCAGTTGGTCAGTAGTCATTATATTCCGTTAATATTTATCACAGAATTAGTATTATTTGTACGTCAATGTTTTCTTTCTTTTCTTTCTTTCTTTCTTTAGATACGCATAATTATTTGACTTCCTTTTATTATTATTTTACTATTATTATTTTCTTCTTATTCGTTTAATGTCATTGACATTGTTAACGGAGAGACATATAAACAAATATTATATTCGTCGTACGTATGTATCTCCGGGATTATTTCACCTTTTGTTCGAGTAACCGGATTATTTACCGTACGAATCTCTTTCAAAAGGAACAAACAAAAACCGATAGAAAGATTTATTCGGTCGATCGGTTCTCGTACGTCGAACTTGGACCTTTTTCTAACTGGTCTTTTTTCACCAATATCCTTTTTGTTCTTTCTTCACTTTGATATGTCTAAAGAAAAATTCTGGATACATTTGTCGAACTATAAACGAAAGATCTCTCTCTCTCTCTCTTTTTCTCTCTCTCTCTCTCTCTCTCTCTCTCTCTCTGTTTCTCTTTGATCTCCTTCATAGAAATAAAAGAAATAAACGTTTTGGATATTCAAAGAGACTGAAATAAAAGTTTTCACGATTTTGTTTGAAAATTTATGTAATAACGGTAAAAGAATCATCGAATCGATAAAGAATCGTTTTCTTCGTTTTTCTTATGTTATTTTTTTTTTTCCCCGTTTTCTCTTTTTTAACGAGGGAAAAGTTCAAAGGGTCGCATTTACGCGTACAGTCGCTCTGAGAATCTTGTTTTTCTTTTTTTTTTTTTTTTTTTTTTTTTTTCTTTCTTTTTGTTCTTTTTTTTCTTTCTTCCTTTCTTTTTGCTCTCGAAAGAAGGTCGTAGAGAAAAAATGCTTATACGAATGACTTGGTTCGTCCAACTTGCATATGGTCTTGCGAATGCCAAGCGTTAGCTTTGTTAAAACTAACGGTCGTATCTCCGCAATTAGGGCCGATTTTAATGAAAGCGTTCGCCCAGGTGTCGTTAGACCTCGTCGTCATTCGTTCGTTTCCTACAAACAAACTTCCTCGTTTAGTTCTCTTTTCTCGACAATCGTGATCCCACGAGGTTGGTTCTGATAACTTTTCCTTGGTAAATATGTATATGTCGAGAAAGCTTAACAATATCGAACTATTTCGTACTGGCACGTTTCAACTTTGAAAATTTCATTAGTTTTGTTAGACGTATAGAGATAGAATATATCTTTGGCCATCAGTATACAATCATTACGAATTATATAAAAAATATTTACAGATATTAAATTGTATTTTTTTTAATTATTGCAATAATTACTAATTAAATTTATATGTTAAAATTAATATATATATACATGTATATGTGTGTGTATGTGTGTGTGTGCGTGTGTAATAAATAATGTATAAAACATTATACATTATAATGATTTATAAATATCAGTTTAGCCTCTCTAATTTTACGTTGCTGATCTCTGAATAATGTAAAAATTTCATAATCATGGATGATCATTCTTTTTCACATAAAATTTCTGAATAAAATGAAAAAGAAATCTTTCATAATGCTGTAAGATCGATGTACGTTCGTTTCACGTGGTTTTTCCATAGACTAGGGACATGATTTATTCCCCTAAGCCAAACTTTCGTTTCGTCGTTTCACTTGGAAAAAGTCACATTCGGATGATCTCCGTTATCTCTCTCACGGTTAGATCCGTGAAGCTGTAGATAAGCCAAGGCATATTCGGTTTCCGCAATGGTGGCTTCGTTGGTTCACGAGGAATTAGCTTGGAATTTTGGATCCCTTGGAATGTACTGAATTCTACCGGTGCAAATCGAATCCACTTTGGCAATGATCATCTTTGTCGTTGTCCTAATTATGATTGATAATTTACAGGTGTATAAATTAATCCATACAAGTTTGAACGATGGGAAAGAATCGATAAATCAAATTTTTATTTCTTTTTATTTATTTATTTCTTTTCTTTTTTCTTTTTTTTTTTTTTTTTTTTTTTTTTCTTTATTTTTTCTTTCATTCCAATGTGATTAAATTTATGCAAATTTTATATTGAAAATGAAAGAGAAAGAGAATTTGTCTAACTAGAATAGTAGCTTGAATGTGCGACTTTAAAAATTGTTAAACCAAAAAGTATCGAAGTTGAAAGAAATTTTTGTACGAATTTTTTAAAAAGTAGAAAAAAAAACGAAATAATATCTATCTATCTATATATATATATATATATATATATATATATATATATATATATATATATACCTTTCTTTGTGTAGAATCCAGGTAGAACCATAATTGAAGTTATCATCGCGATAAAAAAAGAAAAGAAAAGAAAAAAAAACACAGAAAAGAAAAAGAAAGATCTATTCGGGTTTATTATTCCGCTTTTCAAACGTTCTCGTTTTGATCGTTAGAATTCCTCCGCGGGAAAAGATTTCTAAGCTCATTGTTCCAATTGTACATTGTCATAGAGGCTAACGTTTCATCATCCATGAGGTAAAAAGCTTTTATTCGAAGCGCGTCAAGGTGAGAAAATATTGTCCTCTCCGTTCTAACAAAAGTTTGTGCCTTCGTACGAACGAAACTAATACGTAGTCGACTTTAACGAAAGGACAACGTCAATTTTATTTCTTTGATAGCCGATCCTTCAACCGTGTGCTCTCTTATCGTCTCTTTTGATGTCGATATCATTGTGTATATTATATCGTGTAAATAAAAAATGAGAAAAAAAAAAGAAAAAGAAAAAAAAACAGAAGAGAAAAGAAAGAAGAAGAACGCTATGCACAATAATGTTTATTTTATCTTTAATCGTAATAGTCAGGACAAATTATTAATACGCTAATCGTAAAATAAACATCGCAATTATCGTAGATTCGTTTTATATTTTATTACTTTCTTCATATGTAAATATAATTAGGTCTGTATTTCGAAACTATGCATTCCCAATTGATATAATTTATGTAGAACAGGTGATCGTATCTATTCCTATAATAAACAGTCACGAGTGTTATATCATCTTGAATCCAAGTTATTTAATTATAATCAATTCAAAACTTAATTTATTGATCGTCAACGTTATCGTTTAACAATTAGTCGCATTGTTTTTGCACTTTGTCCCTGATGATTTTTCAAAAATAAAGAAAAAAAAAAAAAATAAATAAAGCGAACGAAAAGATAATTTTCTTTTTTTTTTTTCTTTTTTTCTTTATTTTCCTGTTTTTCTTTTTTTTTTTTTTTATTTTCAATGATCGCAATGATCATTATATCGAGTGATTCGTGTTTTTGCGTGCGATAATATTCTTGATTATTTTTAAAAGATATTGCCTCTTCAGGCAATTTTTCAGACAAAATTAACCTCCGACCCATGAAAGCAACCGTTGTTCATTCTACTTGCTTATCAATGACTCGAAACATATCTATATCGTTTACCACGAAGCAAACGTAGTTCTTGGCGAATCGCCCGTCGCTGTTTTGCCTTGGTATTCCGAGGTCAGACAAAAGCTTCGTTTCCAAAATATACCGGCTCTTCTCATCCCGTCCAACATATATATACATATATATAGGAAAGAGAAAACGAATAATTCAGGGCCGTACTTGAAAATCTTTTTCTATTTTCATACATTACTTTACGCTCGATTGCCTTTAGTTTTTATTTCGTTCTTTTCTCTTTTGTCCTTTAACGAAATCATATTTAGAGATGAGAGAAAAGAAGTTTCCTTTTCTTTGTTCTTTTTCTTCTTTTTTGTTTCTTTTTTTTCTTTTTTCCCCTCATAATAATTCTGTGTTTATCTTTATGTAAAGTTCGAAACGTCATTTCCATTTCGTTCGATACTTTCGAATAAAATTTGTATATATATCATTATAATTATTCATAATTCGATAGTTAGGAATATTAGTTAAAATTATTTTTATGAACAATTCTTATCATATTTCCAATAGTTTTTAAATTAATATAACTGACCATTTTAATATCGTACAAAAGATAATAAATGTTAAAAAAGAGAAGGAGATCCATAGAGGAAAAAAAAAAAAAAGAGAAAAAAAAGAAAAATAGAGAATTCATATGAGATTAAATAATATTACTCTACTAGCGAGATTACATATCGCATTGCGACATTCTTCGTTATTGAGAAATCTTTTGATACAAACATTCGTATATTTCTCTTAAAGCGATTTATTATGGACAGTCCGAAAGATCTGAAGTAATCTATCGTGTCCGCGATGTCACTGTGAGAGATCAGAGGTCGGGTGACGTTGGCGAACGAATATAGATAGGAGCTGGTGAGTCCCCTACTCTTGAGAAAGACAAAAAGAAAGATGGAAAGATGGAAGAGGCTGATGTTGTTCACAGTGGATAGATAGATATTAGTGGTGATGTGGTGGTGGTGGTGGTTGTGGTGGTGGTGGTCGTGATGATGAATGAATGGCATGTACGTAACGATGTAACATAAAATTGTTCGACTCGGATGATTATTATGATAGTTAACTTGTTCAACGAAAAAGAGAAAGAAAAGGAAAAAGATAGTAGATAAAAGTTTTGATGAAGGAAACCAAAAATTGTCATTCGCAAGAAAAATCATTTACGAGTTATCTCTCTTTCTTTTTTTATTTCTCTTTTTCTTTCTCTTTTTCTGTCAAATTTGATCTCTTTCTTTTTCTCTCACACATACACACACACACACACACATTCTTTCAATCATTCTCGTGACATCATATTTATCATATTCGTCGTGACGTGTGCGTATCCGTGTGTTGTATCCCGTCGAGATACATAAGAGATGATCATTCTTCTCCGTGTTTTTCGATGTTTCATTCGATACTCGATCGGTGATCGATCTTTGGATAATCAAAATGCATGCTGGAATGAGAAGTGCCTTTTTGGATTTAACAATATTTCCACGAAGACAACGTAAATCATCCGAGCATAAGAACAGGTAAGAGATCGATCGATTTTTCTTTCGATATTTTCATCGACTCCTCCGTCCTTTTCCTCCTTTTCATCACCTTTCTTTCTCTCATATTTTTCTTCTTCTTCTTCTTCTTCTTCTTCTTCTACCTTTTCCTCTTTAACATCGTTGAATTTTATTTCTAGTCGGACAATACTAAACTCAGCTCTGTTATCTCGATAAAGTACGATTCGATAAATCGATTTGTCGATAAGCGATATAATCCAATAATTGAATCAATGATTTGTAACTATCTAAAACAGTAAGGTGTACATCTATTATTTACCTTCTTTTTTCTCTTTCTTTTTTTTTTTTTTTCTTTACTTGTTTTTTGCTTTACTTTCTCTTTAATTTTTTTTCCTTTCTTTTTCCTTCCTTCCTTTTTTTTTTTCTCCTACCTTACCTTCTCAATTTGTAAATTTTCAATTTCGAGAACGTTTTTTCAGGCTTTGCTATAAATAGAGAGTTTGAGAAGAGTAGCGAAATCGAACGTGTCCGATATAAAGTTGGTTCAAGTAAGCCTCTGCCATCTAACGCAAACTTAAAGAAACCGATAAGCCAAGAAAGCTTTCGAGCTTTTCTAATATTTTCTCGTCCTACGTGTATCTCTCTCTTTCTCTCTCTCTCTCTCTTTCTTACACACTTTATGAGTTTGTATCTTCAGAGACTATATATTTATATATATATATATATATGTGTGTGTGTATATATATATTTATATATAGACATAAACTAATATTACCTATAGCTATTTTTTTTTTTATTACGAGTTGAAACATTGAATGTGCAAGCACATACAAAATTGCTTCTTTCCGTTGTCAAACAATTTGCAAAGTTTAACTTTATAAAGTTAAACCATCATTGATCGAAGTTTACAAAGATCGTTCATTTCCTCGAGAAAGTTTAGCGAATGCGTAGAAACATTAATTTAACGGATAGCGTTTGAGAGAAAGAGGGGCAACTGAACCTTGCAGTATTGACCCAGGTCAGAGGTTGCCTGCAGGTAATCACGATGTTCGCCTACCTCTCTACCGTTGTTGAAACGAGCGTACCTCTGCATTCTCGTTCTTGTGTAAAACATTGTGTATGTACGCATGCAGTGCTCGTTCTCACGTCATACTCGTTTTCATGTTATCAAAATACCTTTTTTTCTTTTTTCTTTTTTTTTTTCTTTTTTTTTTTTTTTTTATTCGGATTACCAATCGCAAAATGTTACTGTGATAATTCCTTACGAACGAAGACAAATGATATATTTATATCTTCAAAATGATAATAGGACGTTGATAATCTTTTTTTTCTTTTTTTCTTCTTTTTCTTTTTTGGTTCTTGGTTTTTGTTTCATTCATTCATTCATTCATTCATTCATTCGTTCGTTCTTTCGTTCATTCATTCATTCGTTCGGTCGTTCATTCATTCATTCATTCTTTCGTTCACTCACTCACTCACTCACTCACTCACTCACTCACTCACTCACTCACTCACTCACTCATTCACTCACTCATTCATTCATTCATTCATTCATTCATTCATTCATTCATTCATTCATTCATAGATTCATTTATTTATTTATTGGGAATTGAAAAATGTGCGCTAAGAGACTCACATCTCCCATAACCTTTGCATCGTTCTCTACAAGTTTTTTTTTTGCAAACGATGTCAATGATACAGAGTTGAGTTTCTCACTAGGTCGTCGAATGTGTATACGACTTAGTGGTAATATAATTGTACTTCTTTTATATTAATCGATAGGAATTGTATTTATCGAGATAAAGATCTGATACGTTTTATTTTTCTCTTTTTTCTTTTTTTCTTTTTTTTTGTTTTTATCGGAACAATACATTTATCATTCGAATGATTTCATTTCTCAAATTTTGAAAAATCTCGACGAGGACGATTGATCAAGTAATAATTTTTTTCTTTTATTTTAAATTTATTATAATTATTAAAATTATTATATCCATATATACATTAAATGAATAATGATGATTAATTAATGATTATCTCTAGTAAAATATTAGTCGGGAAAAAAAAGGAGGAATTTTTTTTCATGATCGCGTACATGATCGTCCACTATAAATATCTAGATCAAGTTGGTGTAGAGCATGGTATACGTATAATTGCGTGGTACACTCGTCACTCTTAAAATTGTTCTCAATGCGAGCTTTACGCTCGCTATTTTATCGATATTTTCTTCGATGGCATTTTTTTCTTTTTCTTTTTCCGTTTTTTTTTCTTTTTTCTTTTTTTTTCCCCCTTCAGAAATACATTCGTTCAAGAGTTCTATTTTACGAATATTCGATATTCCTATTTTTATATTTTTATATTTCAACAGAAGACAATATTATCATATTTTTAAAATTACTTTTTTAAGTATTAGGCTTATTAATCTCAAAATAAATTCTGACGTTACTTATTGACATTATTAGGCTATATTAATATAAGTATTTATGATTATTTCAAAATATCGAAAAGATCTATTTAATATATTAGTCAATCAAAGGCAACATTATCATTATTATTTTTTTTTTTTTTTTTGCTCGATAACAGCTCGATAATAGCAATGCTCCAAAAAAGAAAGAAAAAAGAAAATAAAAAAGGAAAAAACAAGAAAAAAAATATATACACATTTTTTTTTCTTTCCTTTTAAAAATTTCTACAAAAGTTATTAAGTAATACAATTTTTCTTATTGTAATAATATCGAATTAATAACGATACTATTATTGACACGTTCCGTCAGTGGGGAATGTCGATGCAGGATTAGCTCGTGGTACACATGCCGTGCGTGTTCTCTCGATCTCGAATAGTAGAACAGGGCCGTGAGAGAGAGAGAAAGAGAGAGAGAGAGAGAGGGTAAGGGAGAAAGAGAGGAAGAAAGTAAGCGAGCAGGTTGTGGCCATAGCCGAGCAGGTCGGCGACATGTATGCGGCTCACCTCGACGGCCCTGCAGGGCGCCGTTCTACAAACGGCGACCTGACGAGAGTCCTCCGAGTTTTGTGTGTTACGGATCGTGTAGCTAATATAGCGTGCTAGTAGACCACTATTTTTCCCTCACTCACTCCCACCGTAACTAGGAATATATATGTATATATATATATATATATATATAAATATGTATATATATATATATACACATATACGCACACACACATATACATATAAACGCACGCGCGCAAGAAACGTAGCTTTGGAAGCTCAGAGCTTTGCTAAAGGAAAAGAAGTACGCGGTCAACCTGCTGACCAACTATGGAAACGCCTCCTCCTGCTTAGCACTATACCTGCCATAAAGCAGGTTATGCATGCTGGGTCAGGAAAGAGAGAGTCAGTTATACCGACGCCGTCCTACCATTCGCGTCACTCATTTGCCTTCGAACGAAACGAATCTAAGTTTCGCGATAAATTTCTTTTATTCGTAGTAGATACCACCCTCGACCTGCTCGATCTCTCTCTGCCTACCTACTCGTCTTTTTTTACATTTTTTTTCGGACAACTCGACTATCATTCGACTTAAAAAGTCGTCTATAACTTTGTGCCTAGTTATCTTTCTTTATCACTCCGTCACGTGTGACGAAGCTTCTTGGTAAATTTTCTTCCTCTTTAAATATATTTTTCTTTTTCTTTGTCTGTTTGTCTGTTTGTCTCTTTCTTTCTCTTTCTCTTTCTCTCCCCCCCCTCTCTCTCTCACTCTCTTTTTCCGCATTTTTCTGTTTCCTTTTCGTGATCGATGATTATTTTGAAAGATCCTAATTCATTTATTTTATTTATCAACGAGGAAGTCCACGTGACACTGTCATTTTCAATAAGTAAATCAATAATCAGAATGATGTTCTTGTCTTGTCATCTTGTTTCGGTGAAAAAATTTGGTTTAGTCATTGTCAACAGTTAAATAAATGATCAATAGTAATTGGGTGCGGGGAAGGATAATAATGGATACGTTAGTACTCAGGAGCAATGTTAAAATCAAGTTGGTTCGTCAGGGATTTTCAATATCTTTGTGAAACGTCCCTAGGGAAGGTTTTTCAGTAGGATTTGAATTGAATTTTTTATGAAGTCTCTTGGTAAGATTACTTTTGGATACATTTAAGAAAGTTATACTTTAATTGCTTATTAATTTTTACATTTTAAAAGTTAGATTTTTTACAATTTACATATTTTTGAAACGAGTTTCTTAGTTTTTTTTTTCTTTTTTTCTTTTTGAAGGAAGAAAAAATGGTTATTTTTTTTTTTTAAAGTTACTATCTTCAGAGCTAAATCCTTTTTGATAAGGTCGGTAAAAAGAGAACGACCTTTATTTTAATTTTTAAAAAAGTATTTCCATTGAAAGGGAGTCAAAGAGACAAATTTGATAGGTTCTTTATTTAACCCAGTTTTCGTCTTTATTTATATTCCTTTGACGAGGCGTTATCGATGGCTCAGTTCCGAAGAATCGACTGAACGCGAAAAGGAGGTTAGCGTGACAGTTCGACCAAATCCTCTACGATTTCGTAGTATTGAACGGGCGCTAGTGGCGCTTCGGAAAAGCCGACATCTCTCGGTTCCTTGTCAAATTATCAAGCTAAATGAGAATTTTGGCGGGATTTTATAGAATTTACGAAATTATACGAGAAACGGAATTAAATCGTTCGTTAAATCAAACCAAATTAATTTGAAAGCGACGAAGATTTTTTTAAGAACAGCTTCAATGAAAAAAAGTTAACGAAAAAGGACGATGATCAGTTAAAACACGATGCATTATCGTTTCAAACAATTGAACATGGACCTTGGACGTATTTTTCTTTTTTTTCTTTTCTTTTTTAAATATAATTGTCAGGACAAAAGCATCGATAATACCATTATCCATTTAGAAGAAATTGTCGTGTAAGAACATTTCTTTTTCTGACACTTTCCTTTATTCTTAAAATCATATTGTTACGATTTAAACAACGCGGCATCTTCCCTATCTCCATCATACGGGATTTTCTGGAACTAAAGAGGTTTAACGAAGGGGTGT